CCTGGAGGTGCCTGCCCCTCCAGTGGGGAAAGGGGGAGGGATGCCCTTTGGGGGCACCAGGGAGCTACATGGCTGGTCTGGCAGCACCAGGGCTAGTGCTAGTGCTTTCAGTGGCAGGGGCAGGAGTGGGGCAGCTGGGAGATGCAGCCTGGGGGGCGGGGGGCAGAGGGGGATGGCTATACTGCTTGGCATGGTGCAGGAGCCCTAACCCAGGGTGCGGGGTGGCACAGACCTCCCCTCCTTCCTTCTGCCCATGCCAAAGCCAGACTTGCTCTGCTGCTGCCCACATGAGTCAAAGCCTCTGCACTCTGGCCTGGGCAGGATGGAGCCTGGAGCCCCTCACCCTGCTCCTGCTGCCTGCAGCACGGTGGGGCTAGAGCTGTGCTTGGCTTCATGTGGAGCATGTGTGGTGCCCCAGCCATTGCCTGTGGTTTGCATGATGTGCACTGCATGCACCTCATGCTGGAGGCTGTTCCCACTGTATCCCCGCAGACCACCATCCTGTGAGTTTGCATGGGGCTGGGCAGGGCAAGGGCAGGGGCAGCTGGAGCCCTCCCCTGGCAGGGATGGGGGGTCAGAGGTGTGGATTGAGAGTGAGGGGCACTGGCAGGGCTGAGGGGGCTGTGGCTTGGGAGTGAGGGGAACCAGGGAGGCAGGGGCCTGTGGGTCTGGAGTGCATAGCACCGGTGGGGCCGGGGGCATCAGGTCAGGAGTGAGGGGCACCAGCATGGCCTGGGAGGGTTTGTGTGTAGAGGGCTGTGGGTTGGGAGTGGGGTCACTGGCAGGGCCAGGGGGCTGTGGCTTGGGATTGATGGACAACGGCATGGGCAGGGGCAGGGCACCAGCATATCACAGCTGCTCAGTGCCACAAAGCAGCAGAGGGGACAGTCACAGCTGGTTCTATGTCCTGGTAAGTGAAGGTGACAGGAGGAGTTCTGATTTTCCATGATTAAAAAAACTAAAATCAAATGCCAAAATATATAGGTATTTAGAATTTATTTTATTATAATGATTGAGGCATTGGTAGGCTTCCAAATTGCTTTGAAATTGTAAAAACATCAATTAAACTGCATTAAATTGATACACACACATAATATCTATAATGGTATTGTGTGTGTATCTATCTATCTATCTATAATGGCATCGTGTGTGTATAAATCTATCTATAATAGCATTGTGTATGTGTGTGTGTGTGTGTGTGTATATAAAAATGACATTTAATTTTAATTGGAGAAAAACACAGATTTGGGGGTTTTAATTCAGAGAACATTGGATTTTTATTAGACAATTTGCAATTTTTAAACAGAAAACCGGGATCCCTGCTAATAAATAAATAAATACTCAATGAAGTGCTAAGAGCAGAGGAAGGAAAAAGGAAGACTTAGCTGTTGGTATAGTCTGAAAGGCAGACCCTGAAGGCTCTGATGAAAAGCTAGATGCAGCCGAGATACAGTACCATCTACCTTATTTGACACTTTATTACCAGTAATTGTTCCTAAAAGAAAAAAGATATGTTGGCCTGCTTTAGCATAGAAGATACCAACTTCTATTATTTTTTCAACAAGCAACTGCGGGGAAAGTATCTAGTTTATCAGACATTAAACAGCAGCTGTAACCTTTCTCCTTCTTACAAAAAACCAAACCAAACCAAAACAAAAAAACAGTTTAAAAAGGAGAAAAAACCTCAAATAAATAAAAGACCTTCAAAGAGTCTCACAGCTCTCTCTATTAATGTTTGGTAATAATCATATATACATTCTTGTCTCATTGTCTGAAAATACAATCAGGTTTTTTCTGCTTAAGGTTTGCAGGACAACCCATGGTTTTGTGACTGTCGGATTTCAAAGTTAATTGAATTTTCCAAAATAATGGACACTTTGGTTATACTTCTTGATCCTCTTGTGGCATGTAGTGGACCTGAGAATTTGGCAGGTATCTTGTTCCAGAGAGCAGAACTGGAACAGTGTCTTAAACCATCCATAATGACTTCAGCAACAAAAATCACATCACCTCTTGGAAGCAACGTTTTGCTACGCTGTGATGCCACTGGGTACCCAACACCACAGCTTACCTGGAGCAGGTCTGACAATTCGCCAGTGAACTATACAGGTATTTAACAATTTTTACTAAATAATATGGGGGTCTAGAAGAATTGACAACTTGTCCGTAGAAATGGTTTTTTGAATGGTGCAAAAATTGCAACATGCACTTATTATGAAGTTTCCAGTAATTTGGGATAGAATTTCATGAGTGGTGCATTAGAGTTAATCTATAACTGAATAGATAAGCCAATTTGGAGATGTTCCAAACCAGAATTTTATAGAACTGTTCAAAATCAGGATCTCAGAATTGAAAAAGTTAATGTGATCTTAAGGGTATAATTTAAGTTTTGGCTCATTTTGGAGACTAAGTAAAAGTTAATAAATCCAGTGTAGCCATAATTGAACTATTTAAAAACAGCAACTTTTATTAAGCTTTGTATTATATAAAATTGTAATTAATATTTTTGTTATGAATGCCATTTATTGCCACTGATTGTCTGACATAATTTCTGCCACTGCCATTATTTAGCAGGGCTGTGCGAAGCTTCGGTCACTGATTCGATTCAGTGGAGATTTGGCCCGATTCGGTGGCCAAATCTCTGAATCCAAATCAAATCAGGAGACCCTTCAATCTCTCCGAATTGAATCGGAGCCCTCCGAATCGATTCGGAGAGATTCGGAAAGATTCGACTATTTGGACATAGAAACAGCTTTAAATGTTTTTTTCTGCATACCTCAAGGTACCCAGTGGCTCATGAATGTTGTGGTGCTGGGGCAGATGGAGCATCCCACAGGAGTGTGTGTGTGCGTGGGTGGGGGAGCTTCCAGTGCGCTCAGCAGCAGACCCAGAAGTGGACCAGAAGCACTTCCAGTCCACTTCCAGGTCTGCGAGGGAGTGCAATGGGGGGCTCCTGTGCCCCCCCCAGCTTGGTGACTGGTGCCTCCTGGGTCTGGGTGGGGCACCCAGGGTCTCCCTGTGTCTGATTGCTGAGCCGGGGCGGGGTGTGAGGGCCCCCCCTGCACGCTTGATGACAGACCCGGGAGTACTTCCAGTCCACCTCTGGGTCCATAGCTGAGCACATGGGGGGCCCCCCACCCTTCTGTTGGATGCTCCATCCACCCCACCACACCATCACAGTGTTCACAAGCCATGCCTGGTACCTTGAAGTATGTATAAAATACATTTAAAGCTGTATCTATGGCCGAATTGCTGATTCTCCAAATCAGCATCAAATCTTCAGATTTGGATTCGGCCAAATCGAATTGGGACAGTGATCCGAATCAATGAATCAAATCACTCTCCCCGATTTGGGCCGAATCCAAATCCGAATCAAATATGGCCCATTTCGCATGCTCCTATTATTTACACACTCCTATTATTTAGTAATCATTGAGAATTTTTCTTATTAACAAAGTGCTGTTTATGAAAGAGATGATATCTGAAACTTATTAAAACTTTAGTGTGTGTGTATACATATACACATACACATATTATATATGACATAATATACATACTACATTTTGAGAAATTTTTTCACCTTTAATTTTAAAGTCTTTAAAATCCTTTTAAACAGGGGAAGCATAATAATGGAAATAAATAGCTACAGTTATCTCCAATAGTAATACTGGAGGCTGCCAGTAGGTAGCACTAGAGTCAGTGTGTGTAAGAGCTACCTTCAGGGAAGAGGATGAGATAAAGTAGCTTAGAAGTGGGAGACAAGAGTAAGTTTTTGTATAAAATCTATGATGACTAAGAACGCCTGGAAATGGAACTTGTTTTGTCATTTGTTTTAAAAGCTGAAAAATATTTTGTTGATTGTATATATTATACCAGAAGATTCAAGCACTGAAGCTCAGGATTAGGGGTGTGGTGGGTGGGAGAGTTGTGTACAAAATCTGGTGTGTTTTTATTCTTCTTATTCCTTGCTGCTCACAATAATGTGTACTGAGCACACACAGAGCAGGAACACTGAAGCCTCTAGGGTCAAGGTACAATGCATTACAATTGCTTTGTTATTTACTGTCACTGTTCTTTGTTCTATGAGCTTCTAATAATGACTATAATACTAAAAATAAAATCTTACATAATGGAAGTAGGTATCAATTTATTAATTATTGATCTAATTTTTCTCCTTTTATTTTTAAAGTGGCTTGTGTTAAAGATTCTAGAGTGACAGTTTTGGAGCAGGTTCTCTGTCCATGAGACGGAGTCAGCATTGGTAGCAAAAGCTTCTTTGCAGTACCCCAGCGACATGACTGTTCTGATCTGGTGAAAGAAGGCAGTGTGATTTCCACTGCCCATTTGGGCTTTGAATTCTTTGGTGGAGTAACGTACAGTGTTTCTAGGATTAAGCTGTGAGCATAATCATTCTTGTATTACATAAATGCTCCATTTAGTTCAACAAGTCATCTCAGGCAGTTGCTTCTAGTGCAACATATTTCTGAGGATGATGTTTTTTCCTTGGAATTCTTTGCTTGCTAACCCCAAGTAGTTAGCAGTTACATTTTGACATAAGCACAAAATCTAGTGGATACAATCTTCAAGAGCACTAAGCGACTCAGTAAGAAAAATCTTGTGTCTCAATGAAAATCAATGGGACTTGAGCTCAAAGGCAATGCTATTCAGGCTCCCAAATAACTTTAAAAAGTATCCATTTATACTTTTCTGTTCTATCTAGTTGAATAGTGGAAGTATTCTTATTATTTATTTGAAGGTTTAATTCCATTTTTAACCTTTCTAAGCTATTTTTTCAATAATATCATGCAAATTGCACAGTTCATATGTTTTAAAGAGATATATGCAATTTAGATGATTCCTTTCCAATATAACAAAAGTGTAGATAAAGTAGTGTGATAGCCTTTTCTTTGTTCTCAGTTTACTGTTATGATTCTTTATGATATGCATTTTATGTTCCTTTAGTAATTCAAGAAACACCAGGAGAGGGTGTCAGATGGTCCATAATAAGCTTGACAGGAATTTCATACAAGGATGCAGGGGAATACAGATGTAAAGCCAAAAATTTAGCAGGAATGTCAGAAGCTGCTGTTACTGTCACTGTGGTTGGTGTTGTAACCACAGCTGTGTCACCTCTAAAATATTTGAGGAAGTTTGAAGCGGACAATACGCAGGAGCAAGCACAACAAAACAAGACGCAGGAGCAAGTGCAACAGGAACATGAAAAAACAACCACTACCTTACCTGCATCATCAACAACCACTATGTTGGCTACCACTGATAGACCTACAAGTGCCAAGATAGCTGACAGAAAACAATCCAAGTCTATACCTGATGGAAAGAAGAATTCAACAATAGTGACAAGTGGAAACAAAACGCAGGCTGGGGATGTAAGCAAAAAAGGCGAGACTTCACTGAATGCAGCAGCCCTGGAGGAAAAAGATGTCACCATAAAGAACCTAAGAGTGTTTAGTGAAACTGATGAAAGTGTGACCTTAACTTGGAAAATTGTCAATGCCACAAGAAACTCTGCAATGACAGTGCTGTATTCAAAGTATGGTGAGAAAGACATGCTGCCTTTGAGTACGGACCCCAGCAAAAACAAAGTCACAATAGATGGTTTGCAGCCTAGTACTCAGTATATGGCATGTGTTTGTCCCAAGGGAGTCCCACCTAAAAAAGATCAGTGCATTATTTTTTCCACTGATAGAATAAATGATGAAAGCAGTTCTGAGTTTTCTATTTCGGTGGTGGCGAGCAGTGCATCATGCTTGATTGTTTTACCTTTGATATTTTTCTTACTCTATAAAGTTCTAAAACTTCACAGGAAACCAAAAGCTTCCAGAGAAGCTGACCTTGCAAAAGAAACCTATATCAAATTTGAAACACTCTCTCTCAAGCCCCGCTCGGTGGGTGCAGGAGGAGAGCTCTGGACCCGAAGGGACACTGATGAATCAGAAAGACTTCTCCTTTGTTCTAGATCAAGCATGGATTCCCAGCTGACCTTCAAAAGTGAGGGTTCTAGGTCTGAGTACTTCTGTTGAGTGTTGTATCCAAGGAACAATATGAAAAATTCACAAACTGCTGAACTAATTTTAAAACTGCAAATGTGTATCTGAAATTGGGTCAGTTACAAAATGCCACTAACAGCTATAGCATCTGATTAAACAAAAACTCTTGGGGTGGGTGGGAGAAATTATGCCTCTCTCTCTTTCTCTCTTTCTGTACCTATCTATTTATCTATCTATCTATAGATAGATATACATTTAACACCCTGTGGCTTCTATTATAAAGTAATAACATTTTTGAAGGATAAACACAATACGAATATATCATGTTATTTTCTGTTTTTTATTCAAACATTTATATTTATCTTCTGATTTTATGTATACATTCTGTAAGTCACATGTATCAAATGTTATTCATGTTTTTTTTAAATTGTGTATTAAGGAAAAATTATAGCCATAGAGCTAAAACTTTGTTTTTGTGTCTTTCAAAGATGTAGCCACTTTAATTAAAAACACATAATTCCCTCTGACATTAGCTTGTGTTCAAACTATGGTGCAACACTACATTGCATGATGTATTGGACTGGGAGTGATCTTGGATTAATTTAGACTGAAGTCAATTATCCAGAGATCCTGGACTTTACTTGACATGCAACATATTATGGAGGCTTTTGCAAGAGGTTTCTTTGCTCTTGTGATCTTAAGGTAAAGTTTTAGGTGGCTTTGTAAGGGACATGACTTCATATAAACATTAGAATACTTAGTATGTCCCTACTGGAATAGCCCTGTCTTGAAATAAACATGGAATCCTCAATTTTAAGAAATCTCTGTGACAACAAATGATATTTGTCATGTTATAATATAATATAATATAATATAATATAGTATAATATAATATAATATAATATAATATATATGTGTAGCAGACAAATAGGGCCAGATCTCACTATCTTTAATGTCAATAGTAAACTCTTATGGACTCATAATGGTGTATGTGCTGGCTCTATAGTAGGGTGATGTTTTGTTCTCAAATTACTGATGTCAAGGTATGTGCAACACAGTCTCCTTCTAATCAGCCCCAGATAATTTCTTCTGTGTCTTTTGTCTTCTACTGCAAGCAATTGAGAATCTTGATATAATAATTATTTTGCCATTCTTATCTGAGTTGAGGGATACCTTCACCTAGGAGAAGACCCACTGGTTCAGTTGGACCTGTTTGCAAAACAAAGTACTAATATAGGCAAGGATGGCAAAATCCACTCTGCTTATGTAATGGCTGTGATTCTTATGCATAGTTTTGTCTTCCTTCTGGAAGATTGGATGGAAGAAGACATGACCATTCTGTGCATCACACCTCTGATTATGTAGATGTCTTCCACTGCTTGCTGAGTTATCTGTTCTGAGCCTTCTGTTGGTCTCAGTATATCTTAATGAATATTGAATCTTGGTTTCATTTTCATGTTGTTCTTTATACTCCAGGAACACCATGGCATGAAAGCTGGAATTATTTTTTAGACTGGACAATCATCTGACCACTGTGCTAGATGAAATGTGAGTTCTGTTAAAGGGCACTTTTCCCCCAAATACCTCAAAGTTCCCCTTCAATTATTTTGTCTATAAAATTGAATAGAAATTCACAGAAAACATTATAAAACATATTAATCTCTTTTTTTAGAGCGAAAAGGAGTGGAAAAACACTAAAAAATATTGAGAATAATTTTAGAAGAATTTTTTTTAGAAGAAACTATTTCAGGTTTAGAAGAAATTTTGTGAGTGGGTTTGGCCAAACTTTAAACACAGTTGTAGAAAAGGTGGTGAGTTAAAGTTGGTTTGTTTTTGTAAGACTTAACTGGCAGTCTTTTAAAGGTCTTGTCTCCTTCTGCTTCTTATATGCCTATGTGTTTCTTGTCATATTTTCCCACTTTCTTAGGGTTGTTCATTCTGTGTTTTGCATAGGATGCTAGATTTATTCCTTATATACCAACTAAAAAGGATTTTCAAAGATGAGTGGTTATGTTTAAGTTATAATACAGACTGATTTTTAGAAGTTTTTAGAATTCATGGCTCCCAATGATTGTAATGGGGCCCAGTAGCTCTTGTTAGACCACTTAAAAAGTGCCTATACATGGATTTAAAAGTCTAACTTTAGGTATCTATTTTTAAAAATCATGGCCATTATTTTGTATTCCTTTAATTATCATCTCTAACTACTGTGTGGTATAGTCTTCTGTCTAAAAAGTAAAAATGGGTTATTGTTTGGTAGGAGAAAAATTCTTACATATACACAGTGAAACTGTATATGGACAGGAAAAGGCTTAGAAACTGAGCTATGTTTCAGAGAATAATGCATACTGATCTTATTAAAAACATTTAAATACTTTACCTTTAAAAGTAATTCAACTAGTTTGTTGTATTTTAAGATATAAAAATAAAGCGTTGTTTTAATACATAGCTATTTGCTTGTCTGATCTTTTTAGTGTAGCTTATTAGGGCTATGCAAAGCTTTGGTCCCTGTTTCGATTTGGTGGAGATTCAGCTTGATTTGGTGGCTGAATCTCTGAATCTGAATTGAATTAGAGGACCCTTTAATCTCTCCAAATTGAATCAGAACCCCCCAAATCGCTTCAGAGAGATTTGGAATGATTTGGCGATTCAGACATAGACACAGCTTTAAATGTTTTTTCTACATACCTCTAGGTACCAGGCGGCTTGTGAATATTGTGATGTTGGGGCACATGGAGTGTCCCACAGAAGTACAAGGGGCTCCCCACTTTGCTCGGCAGACAACCCAGATGTGGACCAGAAGCACTTCCAGTTCACTTCTGGATCCACCAGGGAGAATGCTGGGGGGCCCCCTGCCCCGCCTTGGCTTGGCGACTTGTGCCTTCTGGGTCGGGGGGGCACCCAGGGTCCCCCCATCGCTGATTGCGGAGCTAGAGAGGTGCGGGGGGGAGGGGAGGGGGCTCAGTGTGCTCTCTGGCAGACCTGGAAGTGGACTGGAAGTACTTCTGGTCTACTTCCGGGTTCACTGCTGAGCACGTGGAGGGTCGTCCCGCACTCCTGTGGGATGCTCCATCTGCCCCAACATCACAGTATTCACAAGCCACGCTGGTACCTTATGGTATGGAGAAAAAACTTTTAAAGCTGTGTCTATGTCCAAATCGCCGAATCTTTCTGAATCTCTCTGAATCAATTAGGTGCATTACAATTCAATTCAGAGAAATTAAAGGGTCTTCTAATTTGATTTGGAGAGTCGGCCACTGAATTGGGCCAAATCTCTGCTGAATCAAATCAGCGACTGAAGCTTTGCACAGCCCTTCTGTGTATATAAATGTATAGAAAAGAATTTGACTGGAGTTCAGTATCAGAATATTTGAATATAATGCATTGTGGTAGATTCTAATACTCCTTTGGTAGAACCATTAATAACAACAAATTCTGCATATTTATGGCTGGAAGGGAAGACTTATTGACATTCCTACCTGGGTACAGAGGAGGTCCAAAATGGTTTTGAGAATGACCTAGCTGTTAATAGATTAGACCAGTGGTGCCCAATCTTCTGGCTCCACAGACCAGATGAGTGATGCTGGACTAGTTCATGGGCCAGATCCAACATGGGGTTGGTGTGGGAGGTCATTCTGCAAGTACCATGGACAACTGGTGCCACCTGAGTTCGGGGGGCACATGCCCCCCTTCTGTGGCCAATAATGCCGACGGGGTGGGGGGATTCCCCCCATGGCCAATCTCACCAACCGGGGTGGGGGGGATTCCCATGGCCGATCTTGCCAACCATAGAGGGGGTGATCATGCCAGCCAGGAAGCATGAGCGGTGCTCCTGAAAGCAGCTGAAGCACTCCCAGAAGTGCCAGCAGTGCTTCATGTGGCACCCCCATTCTCTGGCCAGTGCTCACAGGGGGGCACCAGCGCTCCTGCCTGCTCCCCCTGCCCATCATCTAAGCAGAGAGTGCTGCCTATCAGGGTGTGCACCAGCACTCTCAGGGGGTGCACGTGCATCCCCATGCAACCCCTGTGCATCACCACTGGCAGGTACAACCCTGCTTGCCGGCTCCACCTTGTGCACTGGATGCTGCAGCCCAATCAGGCACATGAGGACAATTCATCCACCCCACTGGGCAGAACATTTGGTGATGGGGAAGAGGTGGAAGCTGTAGCAGTTAAGGCTGCTATTGCTCCCTCACCACCAAATTTCTAGACTTGTGGGGAGCCCCATAGGCCAGGTTTCGCCTGCAGGACAGAAGTTGAGTGCTACTGGATTAGACATATTTTGACCTTGATATCACCTGATTATGCTTGAGTTTTTCATAGATTTCATAGACATTAGGGCTCGAAGGGACCT